TTATTGACATTTCTGTGATCTGCAAAAGAACAATTCAATGTGAATCTAAAGGATATTTCAACGAATTTTTATTTGCAGCTATTCCACTTGGGATTCGTGAGTGCATTACTGCTTGTGTTTGTTCTGCTGATTCCGTCGTATATTTTCACTCAAATCGAAAAGGATTGGACATTTTTAGATGCTATTTATTATTGCTTTGTCTCATTAACAACCATCGGACTGGGTGAGTTTTTTCGTTGCTGACTAAAGTATTCATTGCAGTTCATGAGCGAAGTGTGCACATCAGATTGTTTGTCTCCATCAGATCAGTTGTTTTTCTTCCAATGACAAAATATCTGAATCCTGCATTGTTGTAGCCCCAGTTTAAAGTAGTCCACATTATCGGTTTCTAACAGAACGTTTCATATATTCAAAAAAATTATATTCCTAAATATACAAAAACACGGAGTGGAGGCATTCCGCGGAGACCTCAAAGGCTCTCTCATTCACCGAGAATGGCCACCTTCCGAACGCTAATCCATTTCTTTCTTTAGCGGTTAAGTCTCTACTTTTATAAATAACTGATATTTGTTGAATGTATATGGTGCATACTGTTCGCTCATTTATAAACACGAATGAGAATCTGATATTTCGAATATGTGGCCATATCGAATGATAGCTCATCTCAAAGATTTGCGTACATGACCAATATCTGCTGCGTTAACTCGAAATGAGTGTTACTTTGAAACAGAATGTTGCCTATTCTTATTGTTACATTTGACATAATTGCAGGCGAGTATGTGCCTGGTGATCAGCCAGACCAGCCGTTTAGGGCGTTTTATAAAGTTGTTGCAACAGGTTTGTCGATTTTATGGGAACGTTCTGCAGTTTAGCGCATGTCTCCAATTTCCTATTCCATTTCGCTGAAATGAACCGGAAATGACGGCAAATCAGACATCGTTTCGAATGAAAACGCTCACATGACGGAATTCAAGTGTCGTAAATTTCAAGAGAACTCCTAGCGAAAATTCTTCACAGAGTTCAGCAAAACAGCCAATGATTAGAAGATAGCATCTTCACGACGTTCTTTGGTGATAGCAATGATAGCTCTATCGATTTCAGTGTACTTACTATTTGGTCTGAGTTGTATGATGCTATTCCTGGCCACTCTCTACGATGTACAGCAACTGAATCTAAGTCGATTCTTTTTGGTCAAAGACGACACTTACGTGGATCCACAGGGCGGAGATGATGACAAATCCACAATTGTGAACGAGGTTGAATTTGCGCGAATTCACTTCTCGTAATCGATGCATCAAATCAGTCTTCACCCCTCTATTTGATCTCAGCCCAAGTCATAGTGAAAGGCAAACAAATTAGCTCGCTCAGAATGAAGCAATCATAAAACCATGAATGTAGCACTCTGAAACTATTCTTTTCATGCAGTTTTGGAAGACTGTGGAAATCGAGACGGTTTGCATTTTAGGTGAAACTTAAGAGGGTTGTTCGAAACGAAAATATAGTTTTTACACCAGCCTATTTGATGTATTATCGTATTAGATTTAGATTATTATTTAGATTATTTACACGTATTAGATTATTCACAATACTTATCGAAATCATTGGTTCATATTA